AGCTTGCCCGCCGGGCTGGGCTCCTTGTGAGTGCTGGGTACCGTGGGGAGGCGCGGGGTGCGGGGCCGCCGCTGATGGGTGACTTCTCTCTTTCCAGGAGCCTGGTAAACGGGACCTTCTCCGAAGTCAAGGACAGGATGTTTTCCCACCTGCCCTCCCTGCAGCTGCTGTAAGTATGGCACTGGAAGAGATCAGCGGCCAGGTAGCCCTTTGCCCCTTCCCCCTAAAGAGAGTTGCGGGTGCCCTTGCAGAAAGGGGGGTGACGGGTGAACCCCCAGCTTGTGCAGCCCCGCTGCCGTTTCGTAACAGAGGATGCATTTTCCACTCATAAACCACTTCATAAAACATATATTTAGCTACTGAAGGAGGACAAAATGTTTTCTGATGCCCTAAGTTCCTGGTTTTAAAAATTACAGCTTTAATAAGTTTAGGGCAGAGTTTTCCCCCCGGTGCTTCTCACTCGCGCTCACTCTGTGCCCGTGAGTCTCGCGCTGGCTTTGGGATGCTGCAGGCACGATGAGGGGCGAGCAGAGGCCGCCGGGACACACCTCAGGGGAAGGCTGCCGTGCATGAAGCGCTGGCGTTGTCTGCAGCATGACTCTGTGCTTCAGCGTCCGACTCGGAGGGCAGCCCCTCAGATGCCTGCTGACCTGATGGACCTACAGGCGGGATGGTCCTCTGCCCCCGGGGACAGCAGTCCAGCTGCCGGCGCTCTGCAGCCCTCCCTGACCTCAGACAAATCGCTTGGTTGTGCCCGCGTTGCAGTCAGGTGTGTGCCCGCAGCTCCAGCAGCTTCCCAAACTTGCTTTAATTTAGCTGTCCTGGGAGGCAGTAGCAGGGTCGGCACAGATACGGGGTGCGGTACAACCCCCCTGGGGAGCCCGGGTACTTGTTTCTCTGGTAGTCTGCAGAGGAGCGTGCCGCTGGCTGTGCCCTGGCCAGCCCAGTGCAGCCCGCCTGTAACGCCCAGTACCAAGCGGGCCCTCCACACCTCCCCCTGTAAGGACCGGGTTACCCCCAAAGCAAAGACACGCTGCAAAGAAAAATTTGGCAAAAAGATGCGAGGCACGCCAGAAACCCAGGCTAAGCGCCTGCCACAGAGCTAGATGTTAAAACTGGTCTTGGCAAGAGGTAGTCCCTGGAAGCATTTGGCAGCACGATGGCCAGCCTCCTCTCCTCGGGCACCCCCACCTCATTCTCAAAGGCCTGTCTTGCTATCTGGGGGGAGCAGCACCCCATGGAAAACACTGGGGACAAGCAAGGGGTGGAGGCTTTCACCTTCTTTAGCGTGGCACTGGTCCCAAACCCAAGTTTTTGTGGGACTTGGGGGCCAGCACGGAGCCCTGGGCAGAGGGCAGGGGGACTTTGCCCAGCAGTGAATGGGGGCAAACAGCAGACCTGTGCCAGCTGGGGAGGAAAGGGATGAATCCAAGGGTGGGCTGAGAGAAACCGTGGGCAGAAAATGAGAGATGGGGGGAGTCTGGCTTGTTTTGGATAGGGGCACTGGGAAGAGGGAGGAAGAGCAGCTGAAGGTTATCCCTTTTCCTTAGCTGTAGCAGATTTCCAGGAGGAGATGTTGGGGTGCATGGGGTGGTGGGGCAGGGGTCAGTTGCTGAGAAAGTCAGAAGTTGCCCATCGCTTTATGCAGTAGACCAGACGTGGGAGCGAGAGGGGTTTGTCACCACAACCACCGCCACCTTGGGCCCTGACAAATTTTCTTGGTTAGTGTATTTGTGACTTTTCCCTTGAAACATGAGGAAAAAGAATGATTAAATGACAAAAGAGATACATGCATAATTGAGCACTTGGGTACCTCAGGACTCTGTCTTCTGTGGCAGTAGCCATGGTAAAATAGTAACGCAAGGATTTATTTTTGATGGCAGTCTGTATCTTTGTCAGATTTCTTTGGGATAATTTAAGGAGCATTTGTCTAGTATTAGCATAATAACTGAGGATCAGAGGGAAAGTTTGCATTTCGTGTTCATTAGTCTTCTAAATTAATTTCAGTAAAATGCCTAAAACCATACAAAAAGAGGATTAATAAGTTACTCTAATAAAGCGATTAGTGCAGACATATTCACTCGTAGCAGAAAACTCTGAGATTTTCCAAAAGTTACTTCTTTTGAGTAGCGTTGGATTTTTAGACCACATACGAAGTTTTCCTGTTTTCTTAAAAGGAGATCGCTCTCTGTGCCTTTGAACATCAACATTGGAGATCATCCGCTGAAGTGCTTTGATACAGCAAAGAAGGAACTTTGCTGGCAAAGCCTTTCCATAGCATCCTTCTCCCTGACCGCCTTGTCCTGGCTCAGGTGACAGCCGCTCCGGTGCAGCTCTAACATGTTTTGTCCCTGAAGTTCACGCAGGAGGGCAAGGCAGTGCCTGGAGCAGGCAGCACCGGCGCGCTTCCTCGCTGCCTGCGGACGCGGGGCTTTGCTGTGCTAGGAGAGCAGGACTCTGTCTCTGGCGGTTTGGGCATGCCTGTGTTTCCAGCTGATGAACCGGCCGCGTGAACCGTGTGCTGTCCTCCCATGCCGCGGGCCGTAGCCCATCTGCAGGTCAGGCTTGGAGCATCCCCCTGGGAGTGCAGAATGAGCATGTGCTGATCCACCGAGATCAGCATAAATGAGAGCTGGTGCTCGTACAAAAGGGCTCCCCCCATTTCTGGGAGCTCAGGAGTGGCACTGAGATGGTCTCTTGAAAATTTTCGGTGTGGCTGGAGGGGTAGTGGGCAACTGGGGTCCCCGCTCAGCAGACCTACCCTCTAAGGATGGCTTTTCCTGCTCGGGGGACCAGAGAGTCGAGGGCCAGGTTGCATTTAACCAAGGTGAATGGGACAGCGAACATTTTTCCTGGGGAGTAGTGGACATTAACTAGCATCACATTATGCCTTTAGTGTTTTTTTTTTTATAGACCATTCCACAGTATTTTATGTGTGCTGCATTGGTGGGGCAATATGGGCTGGAGTCAGTAAGATTAGTTTGGTCAGTAAGATTAGTTTGGTCATGGGCAATAAACACAACAGGCATAATCCAGTGTGTCAGGTTTTAATGTGCTTTCCTAATGCGTGCTCTCCATTTTCAGCTTGCTGAACTCCAACTCCTTCACTGTTATACGAGATGATGCCTTTGCTGGTCTCTTCCATCTAGAATACCTGTAAGTTTGGTATTTTATGTCTTCCCCTGTCCTTTATAAATCAAGATGGCTTGATAAGTTGCCGAGACTCCTGCCATGGAGTCTTAGTCTTTACTGTGATTCCCAGGAGCAGGGGAGATGAAAGATTTATGGTCCACTCCTGTGCAAATGTCCTTTATGGTGGCTCACCATTTTTCAGAGGTTGCAGTGGATTTTTAAAATATGCTGTGAGTGCAAGGTGGCTCTGTGCAATTACAGCACACCGAAAAGGCCCTGCTGAGCGAGAGCTTGTCCTGGCTTTCCAAAACAGTGCCATCCCTGTCAAGGGGTTTTGAACCTCAGGAAGGAGGTGGGGAAGCCTCTCCTGGCCTGCTGGCAGCCTGAAGAGGAGGTGTGGAGTATCCATGGACTGCCCAGAACAACCATGATTACCAGACTGCTTCTCTTCCCCCAAACTTTCCTCTCCAACTTTGCCTTTTTTCTGATATCCCATTTAATGCCTGTGGCATTTATCTTTAAATAATTATAAATATATAAATATATATTTCATATAATATAAATTATTGTAATGATTTATATTATTATTTAAATCTATTTAACTTTCCTTTTCCTTACTTAGTTCACTTCTTCGTTGATTTTTGCATTACCTTCATTTCCCGATTTTTTTTTATTTTTTTTTTTTAGGTCACCCTTTTTTCTTTTAAAAAAAGTATTAGCCCTGGTACCAGGTTGTCCTCACTTCATACTCCAAAGGACTGCCATTTCTCTGTGTTACTGGACATGAGCTGGTATGTTTGAAGCTGAATATGACCTGCAAAAAAATTCATCATTCCACCCACCTTCCTGTGCTGAAAAGTAGCTGTGGAAGACATTGCTGTCTTTTTCTAAAGGAAGGCCAATGCTCATAACACTGACTCTTGCTAAAGTCTTGCAGGCGAGTGGGTATTAAGGCGGGGTATGTTCAGGACTAATAGTCTGATAGGTGCGGAGCAGCCAACAATGGGATTTGCAGACCAAGAAATAGAGAATAATGGTAAATGGTATATGCTGAAGTCCACGATTCAGCTACATCTGGATTTTTCAGCAGTAGCGAGTTATCTAATCATTCTCTTTTCCATGTGTCTACAGGAAAAAAAGCAATTTGCAGAATGTTTGTAAAAAGGAAGAAAAACTTTTGTATTGTTTCAGTAATGACTTGCTTTCAAGTGCTGATGAGTCTAACACAGAGCGTGTCCCAGCAGCCTATGCAATCGTAGCGGTTGCATTGGTAGCTGCAGCCAGACCCCTGTCTGAACGAAAAAATCCTGCCCCTCCCCAGCTGCTTGAAGGGAAAATCTCTGTCCCTGGTTGCCAGCTGCAAACCAGGGAGCAGAGGGAAGACTAATAAAGCCTTGCAGTTTCAATTTCCTTCAGTAGCAGCTAAACAAGTGGTCTCAGTTAATGGTTGTGGTCACCTCCCTGCCAAGTCCACAGAGCGCTTCCTCTTCCCAGCAAATCACACCTCGGCCGTGTGGGAACCGGGGGCGAGTGGCCTTTCTCTGGGGTTGTTTTTGGCCATGCAGCCGGTAACACCATTACAGCTTCAATAATTCATGTCTCTCAGTTACCAGTGATCAGACCAGACCTTACAGAGAATAAGAAAACCCCGCTGATGAAGAAGAATGACCAGTTTCTTTGTGTACAAAGCAAAGTCTCCAGATGAAGAGCAGCTGGGGAGCACCCACAGCAGATACATCTCTCTCTCTCTCTCTCTCTCTCTCTCTCCAGCTGTGTCCTGCTGTGCTTGCAGCACTGATAGTGGCATTCAGTGCACCCTTAAACTAACTGGCTCCGTGTACAGAGTCTGGATAAGAGAGGTCTGATAAAGACAGAGCTTTGCTGGTGATCAGAGTGGCGTTCCCAGGGTAGCATCCCTTCGAGGCCAGGTTTGGTGACTCAGGAATCTGGCAAAGTACTGAGCCCCAGCCCAAATGTCCATCATCTCGCTGCAGTGTGTTCCGTGAAGCCGTGTTTATTTGCACGGACGGGTGAGCTGGCACTGTGCGGCGATGCCAGGTGCCCGTGAGGGTGGCGGGAGGCAGTTCGGCTCTCTGCTCTGCGGATTGAATTCCTGTCCCCAGGCAGCCTTGTAACGGCTGACCCGCTTCTAACATCTTCCGTGTAGACACAGCACCTTCTGATCTGTACCCTTTGTGTGCAGTCAGGGGCCCGGTCACTTCGTGAAGGATTTTGGCTATGTCTAAACTGCAGAACCCAGAGCACTTGTCATCCCCTGCATCCCCATCTTGTCTCTCTTGAGAAGAGCCCTTGGCTCATAGCATTTTTCCTCTGTTTCCCTGGAAGGCAAACAAGGACGCATAGGAAGAAGGGAGACACTTCTATCTCATAAAACCTTTTAGAAATCAGCATGCAGTTGTCTTCATCCAGGTACAGCTGTACCATGCAATATCTTGATGGCCACCTGGCTGCAATCGCTTTGCAGGGCTGATGGTGTATTTAGGGATGCGTCCTCAAGTGCTCGGGGGTCAAGATGCTCAAGTATCAGCTCTTTCTTTAAATGCTGACGTGCAGTCAGGAGGAGCAGCAGGCTCCTGGAATCGATACGTGCCTGTCATTATTCCCCCAGCGCACGAGGCTGTGACTTGTGTGCAGCTGGGCACCCTGCAGAGGTGGCGTCCCGGCTGGAGAGACCTGAACTGCGGCAGCAAGAAGAAAAACAAGGCAACGGTCTTGCCGTTTATGCCAACTTCGGATGTCTGCAGTCCACGCCACAGCTCTGTGGGTGCAGGGGTGGCACTGCGCGTGCAGCCACAGGAGCTCCCCATCAGAGCATCTGGCTGCAGCCGGGGCCGCCCTGGCACCGCTCTGCTGCCCCGTGGTTTTAAAATGCAGGTGATTTGTGAGAGGAAGGTAGGACTTTAACTTCTAAAGTCCCTCTCAGAAGCCTCTCCTACGCAGGTCTTGCCTCACACAACATACCCTGAGAGGATTAACCAACAGAGGAACGATGTTTTTTGCTCTGTTCACTTTGTTCCTCTTCTGCTGGATGTTTGTGTCATGTGCTCTCCCTTGCGCTGCCTGGTACCTGCATCGTTCCTTGCGGTCCGCCCGAGGAAAGGGGAAAAGGGAACGTGCGCAGCTCCACCGAGACTTCCCCGCCTTTCAGTCTGAAGGGGCTGCCCAGGAACCTGCTGATTTGGAGACCATAGCTTAAAGCACTGGTGATGCCAATAATAATGTTAATTAACATCTTTTAAAATACTTTTTTTTTTTTTTGCCTAGATTCATTGAAGGAAACAAAATTGAAACCATTTCAAGAAATGCATTTCGTGGCCTTCGAGACCTGACTCACCTGTAAGTTATTTAACACTTGGTAGAGTAATTTGTACTTGAACAAAACTCTTCTGGGGTACCACTGCTTTTCCTGCCACATAGAAAACCTCCCTTCTCCTCCGTGTGTCAGCTTCCTCCCGCTGTTGATAACGTGCCTTCCACAAATTAAAAAATGGCCTTTAAGAAATGCCTGCTCAGGGAGCACTGCGGCATGTTCGGCTGCCTGCGCACACTCGCGGCTTGTGCTGGGGTGTGGCTGTGACCTGTGGATGCTGCACCGGTACCACCGTGATACCACCTACTCGTCATTAATGTCCCTGTTTCTTTTCAGTATGCTCAGTGATTGCTCTGTGTGTTACGTTTGCACCTGGGCCATAAAGAAGCTTTATATATTTTGCTTTCACGTGAGCTTCAAGCAATCTCCATTCTTGAATGAGAATAATTAATATGTGCCTGTTCCTTGCAACTGCTGTTACCAATGCCAGTGGCTGGACAGTACCAGTTCATTAACAACCTGTACGTGAGCTCAGGCTTAGGAAGAGTCAGCCAGACAAGAGATGGCAATGATGCTAAGCTCTAACTTTCTTTTCTAGTTCTTTGGCCAATAACCATCTCAAAGCTCTGCCACGGGATGTCTTCAGTGATTTAGATTCTTTAATTGAACTGTAAGTAATGAGAATCTTCCTATTGACTGCCTGCTTCTGTCACTCTGTTACTCTGAGTTTTATGTTCTGCGTTTGTGTGGTGCTGTATCTGATACCTGCACGGAAAAGAAATGTGCGTTTTGTTGTTCTAGCTTTTCTCGTTTTAAAATTGTTTACTTGTTAGACTCCTCTAAAATAACTGCTATTTCTCAAATCACTGTTGCTTCTCGTGATGCTGTACATAGCTTGCATTATTGTCCTTCTTTCTGATGTTTCATATAAATTGTTTTTTAGGGAAAGGGAGACAATGAATTTTAAAACTACAATTTCTCTGAACATTTTTTCCTGTTATTGTTGCATGTATTCCCTGAGATTATTTTAGCAAAAGGCATTCATTAAAAAAAATGCTTTTTTTCTTGTTTTTGTGCAGTTATAGCATATTGCTGACTTACTGTCAGTGTTTTCTTGTATAACTGAGCTGCTAGTCAGCTTCCCCTATTTTTGGCCTGGCTCTCCCAAACAGCAAAGCATAATTGTAAGCTACAAAAATTGCCAAGGGATCGAAGAACAGGTACAGTGTTGAAATTGCACATACATTAGTAGGGGGAGGTTAAATTGACTCTGCATCAGCAGTGACTCTAAAAATACAAGCCTTACATCTGTTCTTGAATGTAACACAGAAACGGTACCAGCAAGGCCACTCTGTCAAGCAGCGGTACCAGAGTAGTTTAGTGAAGGAATGGGCTTTATCTGTGTCAGCGGTAGGTAGATGGTGGGACGGAGGCTTGCAGCAGACAGCCACACTGCAGGATTTGTTACGTTACAGTCCTCATCCTATGAAAACTTATAAACCTGAGTGACTTCACACGGGAATCCCAGTGCTCTGTTTGTTAGTAAGATTATACGTGGGCTTATTTCCTAGATTGAAACTGTTTTTCAAGGACAACACTCAGTGAAGGAGAGTCCGTAGTAAGAGAGTCCGAATAAAACTTAAGAAACTTTCCTGTTCTCAGCTCAAAACCAATTCAAGGCTACTCAGATATTTTTAAATTCAGCATGTCACGGTGATAACAGTTCTGTAGTATTCATATTGCTATCAACCTTTTCAAACATGTTTATTTCTGTGTGTTTTTTTAGAGATTTAAGGGGAAATAAATTTGAGTGTGACTGCAAAGCCAAGTGGTTGTTTTTGTGGTTAAAGATGACAAATTCCACTGTTTCTGATGTCCTGTGTATTGGTCCAGCAGAATATCAGGATAAGAAGTTAAATGATGTGACAAGTTTTGATTATGAATGCACCACTACAGGTATTCAGAATGTATATTTCTAAGCACACTACAAATGGTTAAATATCAGAAGTTTAGACTATACCCTTTCGCTTCTGTGAGCATGACCTGGGGGGAGGAAAGGGTTACATACAAAGCACTTCCGAGTACTACAGCAAGCATAAAATGGGAAAATTACATTTCGAAGCCAAAGTAAGTAGCGAGTTTTTATTTGGATTAAGTGATAATGGGAGAAGAGCTCTGACTATTCGTATTCCAAAAGACTTGATTATGACTCACTTTGTGACTTAATTTTCATCACAGAACGCTTTCTATTATCTGGAATAAGGCCATATAGTTATGGCAGATGAGCTTCCCAAAATCTCTGTATTTCACAGAAAGCAATGAAAAGAAGTCCAAATAATGTGGCTATATCTGTTATCTTTATTCAATAGGCCACAATTTAATAGCATCAAATGTGGCAGCAAAACTGCCAGCAGTTCTTCACGGAACTCCATTAAGTTGAAGAAAAATGTCCAATAATATTCTGACTACTGTAATAATATTCCGACTACTGTCTTGTTTAGGATCTTGATTTTTATTTTAGGGAATGTCAAGCATGCTGAAGGAAGTGAAGAGAAACTTGCATGTGGTTATGCTTATATTTTATGACTGAACAGCCGCAGTTACCTATCTTTAAATGTAGTCACATCATGTAACTGAGAATATCAGCTGCGAGTATTGTTTTTCATCTTTCATGTATATGATGTCAGCACTCTGCCTTTTTTCTATACAGTAGTATCAGAGGCATTCGAGCTCTCATCTGTCATCAAGGCAGTCATCATCATTAAGAGACAATAGAAAAGTTGATTACTAGTAATGTAAAATAAAGTTTCAGTACAAGGTATGAAAGGTAATCCAAGGGCAGTATGTAAAGGAAAAGAGAATGAACTCAGAATTCAAAAATATGTCAGAAGAGCAGCAGAGGTAACGCGCGATTATCTGCTGCATGAAAGCATGTCAGAAGCAGGAAAGCAATGTAGCTTAGACCGGTACCAAAGTTACGTTCCTGTGTCTGCCAAATCACCGAGATGCAAAAGTACAAAGTAAAAGCAGGCTTTATTTCATTTCAATCTGGTTTAAGCAATTGCGCAGTACTAACAGTGTGCGCAAACAAGCCTTACCTACCTGATCCTCACACCTATACTGACCTACCTGCCCTCTGTCATCTCTTTGTACCCAGAAACCTAACTATAAAGTTGCTAGAGGCAAAGTTTGTCCTTAATGTTAGTCCCTTTGTCTGCTGTAAGCGAAATTACACCAAGCATAAATCTTATTTCACATGCTGTAGAGTTTGCTGGGCAGCTAAGGCGTTACAGGGTGCAAGGACTGCCCAGCTGAATATTTGTTCAGATGCCATCAGACAAGTGCTCTCGCAGCACGGCGTGTAGCTGTAATACACTCTTCAGATAGTAAAGGACGTTTTCGAACCAGTCATTCCCTGGCTGCCGTGAGGGGAGGCTGTGTGCCTAACCCCTCTGGCCTGGGGGCAGGCGGCAGCAGGCTTCCCAGAGCTCCAGGGCATAGTGAAGGTGGAGGGTGCAGAAGACGTGGAGCTCTGGCATCCTTACAAAGTGTCTGAGAGGGACAGAGTGCATGCAGAAATAAGCTGTATGAGACAAACCAGAGATAAGTAGAGTAGAAATGCAGATCTTCAGGAACGTGTCACCTCTGAGACAGCATCATGTCCCCTGCACTGAACTGGAAGTTACCTTGCTCGAGCTATAACCCTGCGGTGGCCCTGGTGGTCTGCGGTGGCAACCCACAGCTGCTTTTTCCCTCTCTGCCATTGCCTCCCCCAGATCCAAAGAGAGTGTAAATATGCCCATAGTCATTCCTTCAGGACTGATTAGTCACAAGCTCGGGCTTATACCACATTTTGAAGTAAAGCAACATATCCTCTTGGTGTGTTCTCCTTTCCCACTCAGTGACAGGCAGTGCTCTGCAAACCTCTTTCATTCGTGTTAGTCTTCAGTATTGTATTTCACGCCTTTGCCAGGCGTGATCAGACTCTCCACCATTTCTGCTTTCTGGTACTCTGTGTCGAGCATGACTGGACGTAGGATGTGGTAACAAGGCAGTTTGCTTGGTAAAACGTGCATCTCGGTGGCTCCATCAGTTCATTGCGTCCTCTGAACTGCTACAGTGGTAACGGGAGGAGAGATGTAAAGAGGTGCTGCCGCATTAAACAAAGAGCCAAAGAACAAAACGCTCCTATTGCTTATTCACAGAGAAAGTGATCCACAGTGTCGCTGATCTGCACTTTTAACTCCTTTCGTGATAGCATCTCTTCCATTTCTCACAGAAGGGAAATTCTCACGGACTCCATTGCATCACAGAAGCAGGTTAAGCTGTTTCACTTCGTTTCTTGTCTTTCTCCCACAATGGTGTGTGAGGGGGCTGTGCTGTGGCTGTAAGCATGGCAGGGGAACGAATACTTACTTTCAGAAGACTGGTAAACGGGCCTCGCACTCCCACAGTCACTGGAAACAGGTTGTGTGTGTGCCTGGGACCTGCTTTGCCCAGACCTGCCAGCAGGGATCATCTCGCCGAGCTTCGAAAGCTTGGTTTCCCCTTTCTTTACCTAGCTGGGACTGTCTTCTGGAGGTGGTCCTCTCTCCCCACTGGCTGGAAGGAAGGTAGTTTGCAAATTAAGAGTTACCTGCTCCATACTCACTCCTGTGCTGGAGGTCACCCGTGCCACCATGGTGGGACACAGGAAGGGATGGCTAACTCTTCCTGAGAGCACCCCAGGTCCTGAGTTGCCACACCTAGAGCAGAAGTCTCCACCGTGGAGAAGAAGGGCTGTGAGAAGAGGGGAATGACTGGTGGCTGAGTTGCAGGATGCAGTTTAGGAGCTGCTGCCCAAACAGGTCATCGGTCCCCTTTCTCTTCAGTGTCCTCCAGCGTCCCCCGTGCGCCTCCTCTCTGCTCTGCCAGCATCAGCGCTCCTGTGTGCTGGGATCAGCCAGAGCAGAGGCTGCCAGGAGGGAAATCAGCCCAATAACAAAAGCGTTGGGTCCCTGATCCGTGACAGCTCGTGACGTTCAACAGCCAAAGGAGCGGAGGCAGAGCAGGCGGCTGGAGGATGGGGGGACCACCCCGGCCCTCAGCCGGCAGAAAGCAGTGTCAAAACCATGTGTCTTGAGCCAGAGAAAGTATCGGGGTGCACTGGGGTGAGAGGGAGACAGCGACAGCCCGTGCGGCCAGCGGCACGGGGGGAAGCGAGGGCCACATCCTCTTCCCTCTCCCATGAAGGCCGATCCAGCTTAACAGAGAAAAATGTTGGGAAACACCCCCCTCCAACTCTGTATTTACTGTATGAGCTCTTTCTAGCATTAAAGCAAGGCATGTGGACCTGCCTGTAAAACTAAATCAAGCCCCTAAGACCTACATTTTTAGCAAGCCTTTTGTGGCAGCATCTCTTTACTGTGTAACCCTGTTCCACATTAGTCTGGTATTTCCAACTGGTGCTAAAAACGTTTATTGCTTTTTACTGATTACGACTGATTTTGTTACCCATTTTTACTCATCGAGTGACATAAAGAGCCCGATGACAGGTACAAGTAAAAATAGCTGTGTTAACACTGAATCATTTCTGAATGAGCAGTGGGTTATAACACAGACTGGTTTGTTTTAATTCACAGATTCCCTCTAAGTGATTTCAAGAGGTGTCTTTTTCAGCATTAGTTTTTTTGTTTTTTTCACAAGATTTTAAAAATATTTTTATTTTCTGTGACTGTATCTGCTATTGTTCCATCCTTAGCTACCTTTCATGATTTATCATACTTTTACTTTCTGCATACTTCAGTGTCAGTTTTCTCCAGTCCTTTTATTTTCCCAGTGAGAATGAAGATAACTTTCTTGTTTTCCTACGAGCATTTATGAATCAAGCCCAAACTCTATTTATAATAGTCCCTCGAAGAATGGAGGCTGTCATTTCTTTTGCAGCTGTAGAATCTGCTCTGTTTGTTTAATGGTAGTCATCTGTCTTTATTCTCCAGAAGTGTAACTCCTCAAGGGCAAGGCTTTCAAGCATGCAGAGACAGAGTTCTTCATTCAAAAACAATTATTTCATAATGCACCAAAATGAGGGATTCGAGTGAGGACTTAATTACCATTTCACCAAAATCCCTGGGTGCTCAGGCCCTTCCAACGTAGGAGTGCATGGTGAAAGCATCTAGCAAATGGAGCTTGATACAGAGCGGTGCGTGGTTCTGCAGAGAAACTCCATCGTAGTGGAAGATGCATTTCCTTTTCTATATATCTATATCCATACATCACTTCAGCGCAGGCCTTCTGCCACACTCTAGACCCAAGTGCTGGCTTGTCTTTGTCAGCTCTGCTAGACCCGTTTCTTTTTCTGATAATAATGACCATGCCCAGCTGTCAGGCCAAAGATCAAATTCAGACCCAAGTCTCCTCGCTTTTCCCCAGATTGACTCTATGCTGACTGCTGACGTAGCCCAGGGCGAATTTTAGAGTTAAATCTACAAAGGCATTTTGATTTTGAGAGGAAAGATTTTGAGAAGAAATCTTGAATTTTGGAGTTACACTCTTAGTCTTTACAGGTTGCTCCAACTCCTCAGTCTTAGTATCCAGAATAAGTTTTCCACTGGATAGTAATTTGCAGGTTGGTTGTATTTTATGCCTAAACTACTTTACAATGCCCCATAAAACGTTACGTTAACTGAGTTTTTGATTACACCATTTTGTCTATGGTCTAGCCGAAATGGGGTTATCCCCAGGCAAACTTCAGATTATCATTTCACTTTCTGCCTGGTTTAGCATAACACAAATTGCTAGTGATTAAATTTGCATGACTTAAGAAGTTATTTGACTTCAGCTGGAAGTTGCTGTCTCTCAGCTTGAAAGTGATTCTAGCAAGGCCATTTCACTTGACGGGAAAGCAACTTCCAGCTGTGGGGAAAGAGACTTCTCTCTCGATATCCTGATTTCATTGATACCAGCAGGCCTAGCTGGAAAATCTGATTTCTGCCACTATTTACCTATTTGATCTCCTTGGCAACTATATTTCCAGAGGACAGTTTATGAAGCCTAAAGCAGGAGAAGCTTTCCCCTGTTGCTGCATGCCTAACATGAGCACTGACACTTCCATGCTAGTGTTCTACAAAATCCAGAGTATTTAACTCATTTTTCAGTGTTAATTGTTGTAATCACTAACCACTTACTCTGTGTTTCCAGCAAGGATGTATCCTAATTGTTGTAAATGTATGTTTCTAGATTTTGTTGTTCACCAGATTTTGCCCTATCAGTCAGTTTCAGTGGATACGTTCAACTCAAAGAATGATGTGTTCGTAGCCATTGCACAGCCCAGCATGGAGAACTGCATGGTGCTGGAGTGGGATCACATTGAAATGAATTTCAGGAGTTATGACAATATCACAGGTATATGAACACTGGGATTCCAGTCATTGATGAACTGTTGGCGTTTCGCAAGGATGAGATTCGTAAATGGGACCAGCTGATGGTTTTTGTCCTGAATCTCTGTTGAAATTGGCAGATCAAAGTGTGTAATGTTTGGACATGAGTGACTTCATGGCGTAGTGCATCTTCTTAATACATGCACATTTAACCTCGCTGTACCACACAAACTAGGCTTTTTTTTGTCTGATCTTGTGAACTGTTCTGAAGGCACAAACACTTGCTGTGAATGTCACACCGTGGCCCAGCTTAGACGCTCGCTGCCTGAATCACACTGCAAGTTAAAGTATAGGCTAAAGGAGCTCTCACTCTTGCCAAAGTGCCTGCAAAATAGAATAGAAAAATACTCTACTGCATGTAGAAGGAAATAGGTCTGAAGGATGCATCTAGGGTAGGCTGGCCAGGAAAGCATGTTTCACAGCTGAAGATGACATAGAAATATTTAAACTGTGTTTGTTACCTAAAGAGATGTGCTATAAAGCTTTCATGTTTACTTTCCATTTATAAGCATCCTGGCCAGATTATTCATCAAACAAAAAGCCCATGTGGATGCCAGGTGATTTTCTATTGCTAACAACCATTCTGTCCCTAACCGACACTCATGGTGCTATACAGAGCTCAGTCACACCATGACAGCAGGGACAGAGCATTTAGAGCTGTTATATGCTGCCCAATTTCCCAACTACTTCAAGCTACTGGTTCTGAGGTCTCAGGAGCTAAATCTATCTATGGAGAACCCTTCCCTCCTGTTCTTGTTACGTGTGATAGATTATTTTTTGCCTTGCATTTTGGGAAACAAAGAGTATGCTGCATCCTCATCTAGTGTTGTGGGAAGTCTACAAAGGCAGCAAGCACATACCTCCTCAGATCAACTGTGTGTGCCACTAACGAAAGTTTACAAAATGCTACCCCTCTGTCAGGAAATTCTGGAAATGAAAAATTTTGCTCTTTCAGGTTTTATTGTGTTTTGGTAGCTTAGGGGGAAATACGTACCAGTGGATGTAAATTGAGAAGTCGATGGCCCAAAGAGAGCTAGCAGAACTCCAGAAAAACTCTGGAAATGAAGTTGAGAGTTTAGGTCATTTGCAAATACATCCAGCTGTCTTCTGGATGTATTTCGTCTTCCTGTGAGTGACATGATTAGGAGACATTTCTGCTGGGGACTGGTGTCGTGGCTCCACACCCAGCGTGCATGCTGAGACTCATTTCTCGAACAAGTGTCCTGTGTTCCTGGAAGGCCTGAGCTTAAGCTCTGGACTCTGAAATGTAAGTGAGCTAGAGACTTTGCCAAGGGACACAGGCAGGTAAAGAGCCTTTTGTGGAGCCTGAAGAGCGTTTTGTAGAGCTCAGGAGCCAGCTATGCGCTCCATGGGGAGTTTAATTACTAAGTATATGCTTGGCATGTGGATGGCCAAATTTAGCCCTTTATGACATGGGCTTATTGACCTGAACTAGTTGTCATGATTGCCTTTAGAGTCAACATGCAGAGAATAGGTGTTGCTATGCTCTGCAGAAGGAGACATCTACAGGCAAGGTGAAATCTTGTCTAGAGTGCTTTTTGACTAAGTTAGACCAAAAAGAGCCTGGATAATCAGCTTTAGCATTTGTGTCTACGCTGCAGATATCTTATGGTGCTTGAGATGAATCCCACCCCTCCAACATTGGAAGGGTGGTAGATCATCCGAGGCTGGCTGTGAAACACCTATGGGTAGGGGGCCAGCAGAAATGCCAGGGCTTCTCCCGTAGTGACTGTGACCGTGCACGCATAGAGGAGCATTGGCAGATACTGTGCCAATTTTACTGCTTAAACTGTGCACTTCAGAGAGGAATTCCTCTCTTCTTCCAACAAAACCTTTCGTAAGTAGTCTGGTTGTTACTTTTTTGATGTGGATCTTGTATAGGGACTGGACATTCTCAAAACAGACCACAGCTCAATCTAATCTAATCTGGCAACTGCAGTATTCCTAAATATTTCTAGTTTAACATAATCTCAGGAAGACTTAACAGAAACAACAGAGTTAAATTTATCTTTTTCATCCTGCTGTCAGGTGATATATCCACAAGACACATCAATATTTCTATTTAGAGTACCAAAAAGCTGACTCTGGCCCTCTTGGAGCAAGAAAAATAGACTATCTTTCATTCTTCTAGTTAAACTGGAAAAATAGACCTTCCAAGAATAAGAGAATTTGAGATTCCCACTGAGTCATAAGATAACAACTCTTGTTACTTTGGAATAATAAAATTTGGCTTAAATAATTGTTTTGGATATTAGGGGCCCCTGTTTGAACAAACAGAGAAAGAAAAAGTATTCTGGTTAAAAAGGAATGAGCATTTTAGGGTGCATCATACTTGCACACCTTGAGGGGTGTGACATTTCCAATATTTGCAGTCATCTTTCCAGTTATTGGGGAGAAAAAAGTATGGAAAGAAGCTCTGACAGCATGTAGTAAAAGACAAAATTATGAGATGGTGAAGATTTTAAAAAAGGGGCAGGGTGATTTGGTAATATCTCTGTGGTTTAAAAGGTGCTTTGTACTGTGCTAATATATGTGCTTTTTTTTTTTTTTTTCCTTTGGGCAATAGGTCAGTCCATAGTGGGATGTAAAGCCATTCTTGTTGGTGACCAAGTCTTTGTGGTGGTGGCACAGCTCTTTGGTGGCTCACACATTTACAAGTATGATGAAAGCTGGACAAAGTTTGTCAAATTCCAGGATATTGAAGTATCTCGCATTTCCAAGCCAAATGATATAGAGCTTTTTGAGATAGACAGTGAAATGTTTTTTGTCATAGCAGATAGCTCTAAAGCAGGTTTGTCAACAGTGTACAAGTGGAATAACAAAGGATTTTACTCATACCAGTCCCTTCATGAGTGGTTCAGGGACACTGATGCTGAGTTTCTCGATATAGATGGGAAATCCCATTTAATCCTCTCTAGCCGCTCCCAGGTTCCCATTATACTCCAGTGGAACAAAGTTTCCAAAAAGTTTGTGCCACACAGTGAAATCCCCAACATGGAAGATGTCTTGGCTGTGAAGAGTTTCAGGATGCAAGATAACCTGTACATCACGCTCACGAGATTCATTGGTGACTCCAGAGTTATGAAATGGAATAGCAAACAGTTTGTGGAGATACAGGCTCTTCCATCCCGAGGAGCCATGACGCTGCAGCCTTTCTCCTTCAAGAACAATTACTACCTAGCCTTGGGAAGTGACTATACCTTCTCCCAGATATACCAGTGGGATGCTGAAAAGAAGCTCTTCATGTTATTTAAAGAAATTTATGTGCAAGCCCCACGGTCTTTCACAGCTGTGTCAACAGATCGAAGAGATTTTTTCTTTGCCTCTAGTTTTAAAGGAAACACTCAAATATTTGAACACATCATCATTGACTTGAGTTTATGAAAAGCTGCTGGAGTGAAATTCATGTGGAATGACATTTATACACAAGCAAAACAAAGAGAGACCCTTCCAAAGACAGGGTGCACCTATGGAGTGTGATGACATTTTCTGAACTTTTCAAACTTGCATATTAATCAGGGATTGCATTTACTTGGTTACTGCATGACATGTCCGTTTTATCCTTTTTCAAAGACACTTTGTAATCTGCAGTCATTCAGAGGTGAGTGCAGTGCTCAGGATTCATGTTGACATCTAAGAGAATGATCTAAATTTTACTCAGAAAACTACCTTGAATTGAACATCTTGTAAAGAAAGTGAAGAGTAAGCCATACAAAGCATAGAAATGCTCTTGACTCTTAAACTAACATGTTAGTAATGATTTTAAGATTAGAGCCAGTTCTTCATGGTTGCTGATGAATTGTGAAAGCAAACAGCAATGTTCCAGAATACACGTTATTTTGGTTTCTTGAGGTCTGTCTTCAAAATCTGTCTTTGTGGTTTATAGTAAGTCTGAGGCATTGTTTTAATTTGTTGAAGATTAAAAGGAATGTCAAATGTCAATTCCATCATTCACTATTTCAGCAACAAATTGTGCATAACAAATAGCTCAGCCCACAGTAACTGGGTAGCCAGGAAAAGAAGGGCATGTCACTTCTAGACTGTGAGATCTTAACAAGATAACATAGACAATAACAGAGGTCTGCTTGGTGCCATGAATGAATCAACTACAAATTCCATCCACTTTCTGTTTGAATAGGTATTCCAGAAATTCACCCCATTTTGCCCTAATTCATACTCTTCTTGATGATCCCAGTAGGTTCTGGGATGTTTTAACAAGTAAATCTGTTGTGATCTCTCATTCTAGAAAGCACAGCTTAAGCTTAGCCTGAAACACACATCTACATCCATGTACTCCGTGCTATAGCTCATCTGTATGCAATGAGATGATTTCTTTTCCAGCATTCTCCTCCCAGCACAGCTCACAAGGAATAAATTCAGGTTTTGGTTATCACAACCTGTATTTGGGGAATCCTCCTTCTGCCTGAGGTCTAGATATGACTTCAGTATCACTGAGTCTTTTGAAACAAAGGCAGCTGGAGCTGTTTCGGGCTAGACCTAACCCTGCCTCCAAGAACTAGGGTTTCCTTTTGGTGGCTCCAGGCTTTCACTGGGTTGCCAAGCCGTTGAAGGTTAAACAGGAGGATGTGAACAGCCCATGCCCCATTGGTGTTTTGGGTGGCTACAGACTAAGGCATTCAGTCATCCTAAATAGGGCAGTCCTGGCACACAGACCCTCTGTTAGAATAAGAGCAAGGGACCATTTTCCTGGAAAGGCCTCTCCACCATCCTTACCCACAAAGTTGTGTATCCGAGCCCTTGTTTGTTCACTTACACAATATGTTTCTTTAAGTTTTCACATCACTTAGCATATTAGGTTGTTTTATCATGTCTTGCTGCTGCACTGCTGCCTTGGATAAGAGGGAGGCTTTCCGTAAAGCAGGCCGAGCAAAGGAAACTGTCCTTTATTCCTTCATACTCAGGGCTGCCTCACCATCTCTGTGCTGAGTGAGCTTCATTTTTTGCCCTGGACACGTGAAACATGGTCTATTGTCACAAATAGAGATGTTCTCACTGGCTTCCTGACATCCAAGATGTGAACAGTGCTGCAGAAGAGGATTATGCACAAGGACTGCCATGAGGAGTCATAACCTGCCAGTGACCTGGGATATCACAGCCTTCCCCAACGTTTGCCTCGCTGCTATGAGATAAAATTATTACTGTCAGAGACATAACTAATTTTATTTTGTTTTTAAATGATGTGTTAATTTTTTCCTACAGAGACACTCATCCTGTTTTTTTTTTTAATTACATTGGCAACTTAGCCCAACCAACCATCTGAAGTATTGCACTCTGCCTTCCAAATCCCAATGCGCTGTCAGTCCCGTTGGTTCAATCAGGCCAGTAGATGCAAACCAAGCCTCTGCAGCAGGTTTTAGCAGTAACTCTCTGAGGATTAAGCTAACAAATCTGACAAAACGAAGAGATGATTCGTATGTCTGCTAGTGAATGCAGTTTCTTACCATGTTCCCAGTTTACTTTTTAAAGCGGGTATGGCTGGCAAGCGATGTTTCTTTAAACTGTGTTGTGGGAAGGCAATTTTTTATTGCTTTTCTGTCCAGCGTGCATGTTTAAATAGAGTCAGATATGCTGCCAAGGAGGGCTATTTTTCAGTGCGCCAGCACTTTCTTTCAGGGCTCACTGCTAGTACCATTCCCTCAGCAAGGGGAATCAGTCAAAGAGGTAAAGGCTAGTTTAGGGAAATTGGATCTTGACATTTTTTACTTGAAGGAAAGGAAGAGGATGGAGGAAAAGGCCTTGTGTATCCAATACCAGGAGATTGTACTGTTTTGAGAGCCAAGGGGATTTTGAGACTTGGCTATCAAGTTGAATTAAATTAAAATGGTCTCTGCAGAGACAGGCTTAATAAAGAGGCTAAAGTGATCCACAGGAGTCTAGCTCATTCACATGGGACCAGAAGAAGAAAGTGAGGGAAATGAATTCTGCAGGCAGGCTGCCGCTTCTGCTGAGTGGCTGTGTTGGTTGGTTGGGAAGCCCAGCTCAGCATCCCTCCCAGCTTCAGGAGGAGCCTGGAGTCAGACGCCGGCCCGCCTGTTCTGCGGAGTTAGTGCACAGGAGGTCAAAGCAGCTAAGAGGGAGGGCAAAAAGCACCAGTCGATGAAGAAAAGGGGTTACGGTACATTTCGCAGGACTAAACAAAGGCAGGGTCTCAAAAAGAGCCCTGTTATGCTATTCCTGCTCCCAAGGAAAAGCTGCAGGATGCAGCCATAACAACAGACATCATGAAGCACTGAAAATACTTTCTACCTTTCCAAATGCAACAACGGTTTTGTCTCAATGGCCTATATTCTGTAATAGAAATTGTTTTGAATAGTGAATAAACTATGCATATTCATGATTTATTGCAACTGTTAGACCATCAGGACAGTAAGAAAGGATAACAGAACATGCCACCTGGTAATTTTTAATGTATTCTACAATACAGACAACTATGTAAAGAACAGTAGTTTATATAAGCGTAGATTTAATATGATGTGCTAGCTACAGTGGGAGCATTTTAAGGCTGTATATACATTGAGCTTTTTTTAGTAAAGAGGAGCTGATGCAATCTGTGCTATGACACATGTATGTACTCTTTCAATATATGAATAAAATGTAGTTAATGAGACTAATAGTGGTACGTCGTGCGTGTTAAAATATCCATGCTGTGAAGGTCCACACTGCCAGAGGGATGGACAAGGTGGGCAAACGGGTCCTTGTCCATCCATGATCGGGTTTGGCTTTTGAAAACGTGGAGCAAGCCGTGCTCAGCTTAGTTAAATTCAGTTTCTCTGCCTGAGGTAGCTCGGACCTCCAAGGTTTTGCTGTTCCCTGGCTTTCCCCTTCACTCTT